ATCTTCGACTACCTCGGGTGTGTTGAGCGGCTCTTGCAGCCAGGAAGACTACTGGTACTGCAATGGCGGCACGGCGTTCCAGCGCTGCGTCAACGGCGAGTGGGATGCATCCCAGAGCATGGCTGCCGGCACTGAGTGCACTCCTGGCATCTCAGAGACGCTGACGATCGCTGCTTCTTCGAAGCGTCGCAATGTTAGCGGTCTGCGCCGCCGTCGCTTGTAAGAAAGATGGCAGACTATCATGTTGTGAGTGGTGTGTAGAGGATCTGCGGCATACGTGGCCTGCATCTATCTTCTCTTCATGTGTATATTTACATTAACTTGACCAGCTCTAGAAGCTTTGATAGTGAAAGACATGGAGCCAACTACCAAGCGTATAACGTGGATTTTTATTCCATCGCGTACCATTCCAAGCTTATTGTAGTCTTATCCCAAATGTATCAGATACTTAGCTTCTTGATCTATATCAGCAGACCAATTCTAGTACATAGATCTCTATTAAATCGTTCCTTAATACAGTAATTGCTATCGACACTGACATTCAGCGGAAGTTACGGTGATTGTGCTTTTCGTATTGATATCCTCAACTACTACAAAAGGCACCGTGGCTGCACCGTATCTTGGTAGAATGTCATGACAGTATGAACAAGGCATTGGATACCAGAAAATGGTGATAAAAGGTGCGAGACTCGAATAATAGCTATGTATGTCATGCGAAGGGTTACGATAAACTGGACACGAGCCTGATTCTCAGTTAATTAGCTATGCTGTTCAGCGGATGCAAAGGCAGAGTCCGATGACATTATTCATAGTAAGGACCATCTTCCCTTTCCCGCGTATCCGAGCACTGCATCTTCCTTATGTGTGAGGAGAGAGCTTCAATTGAACATAAGACATGTCTACACAACTTAAGAAGCACCTCCCATGTTTTGGCTAGTCCAGCACTGCCGTCGGGGACTGCATATTGTAGATCATCGGGGACCCATAAACCAATTGTCTGTCAATATACAATTCATCACACTTCATACTTATCCGTCACATTATCTCTTGTGGTTAATGCTCCGAGCTGAGCCGATGAATACATAAACCTTTTCAATCCAGCAGTTAGTGTTGTTTATCGGGATTTGAACTCCACAAATCACATCGACCATCATCTCGGGATCTGCGATATAGTCGGTGGCAACCTAGCCTTCAGCTGAAGCTGAAGTTGATGATGTACACGGTGTATACTCTTCCAGGTAAGACAATGAACGAGTATTTAGAAAAAGAAACCATATTGCCCGTCCATAAAAGACCGTACGCAATCCACGATGGGCTGAGCAGCTCATCACTCAACTCCTCTCCTCTCTACAAAGCCTTCGTGTTTGGTCATCTACTGCAATCGAAACCCCGAAAGCATATTCACTCTATCAACAACCAACATGAAACTCTCAACCATCCTCTCAGCCGCTACCCTTTTTACTGCCCTCGTGGCAGCCACTCCCACACCCGCGAATGAAGCAGTCGCGGATTCAGCACCCTCACAGGTGGTATGATACCTACCCATCTTAGATAGAAAGATTATTGAAGCCATGGATTTGATTAACGTGTATCACTAACTATGATTAAGAATTCTTGCCCCAATCTACAGGCTACGTCTTGCTGCGATTCCTGCCGATTCGAGTTCGGGGAAGAAGGTGGCATCTCATGTTGCCAGAACTGCGGTTGTAGCGTTCAGTAAAATGCCAGCATACCGCAAGAATGACGCATGAGAAGAATAAAGGTGGTATTATTTGAGACGTGAGGTAGCTTCTTGTGGGGATCCTTGGTGATGTTGCTGAGGGATACTTTGGGGTCTGCCTCTGACTGTTGTTGACGGGTGCTTGGTCTGTTGCGTCTTTTGTGTCTTGATATGGCATCCTCTGCTGCAATTGAAGGAGATACTGTTATGCGAATGCCACGGTATTTTAAATGCAAGAAAGTATGCAATATACACCGTGACCGATAAGACTGGAAATCAATAGTCCATCAGGAAGGGAGATTTGGAAATGAGTAGCGAGTTGTTGGTATCCTTGTCCCATTGTATGTACAGGTATTTCATTTTCTAAGTCGCATGTTTTGGTCTCATTGGGAAGGCGCATATGATCGGGTGTTGGGAAGGATTTTCTTGCACCGATGCATCGCGCATGTTACCGAAGTGCTACCAACATATTAACCATTATTGCTAGTTTGCGTCGAACTTAGCTTCCTCTCGGGGAGGGCGGTGGTAAAAGGTTCACGATCGAGAACTAGGCTGGAGCTTTGAACTATAGAACACTATGCATCTATGACAACACAGAACCTGAGCTGTTGCCGGGCCTCAAACGACATTGCTGACTGCAGTCAATCCTTGAAATTACTAAAAGGAAATAGTAACCTCATCTTATTATACTAGACTCCCCGTGCTGTAAGGGAGTATACTACCCGCGGCGCCGCGGAAGCCCCGCCATTCCAATGCATGCCACCGTCTGACTGCAGGCTAGGGTGTGGAGCCGAAGAATGCTAAACATGGCTACCTATACCTGGAGATTTCTGTCACCGTTGCTCAACAATGGCTCGTTTGTTGGCGAGTACAGAGTCTTGACCCCCGCGCTGTGGTTGGGGAATGGCATGCTGTCAGACGTGTGGTTGGGCAGCTCACATCAACGTCTCCAGAACTACCGCACGACCATTACAGTGACTGTCCATCCCTGGCTGGCAACTGATAGCAAACATTAGGATATGTCTCGCGCATTCAAGCCGATTCAAAGGAATCAAAGAGACCGAGGCTGACTATGAGATGATATCTAACTCCTTGCTCGCCAGACTGTTACTTAGATGAGGCTAATTAAGGTTGGGATTAAGAAGGAATATGGAAAGCATGGAGATGTGTTCATCGATTCAAAACATATACTACTTCTTAACGCAAATTAAGGGCCTATTGTTCTGGCGCCTACTATTAGCCTGCGCTACCAATCGGAGTAGACCGCTCCTTATCAGATCAGCAATAAATGCAGGCACCGCATTGTTTCACCCCTTGTATGTAAATCACGAGAACGCAGATGATTGGGTTTAATCGTTCCACAAGAGACCCCTTTCTTTCTACATCTCTGTAGTGAGACCGCGAGTCCTAGATTTAGGGAACCATAGCGCCAGTGTTACACCAGTCTACCGATTCCAGCCTCTAAATCCACCTACAAATGCACTCTCACGTTTACACACCTCAGGAACCAAAATAAGAGTTTCGTCTGTGGTCAAACTACTCTTTGCTAGTTATGGCCGGACCTTTGAAGAGTCCTGAGGAAGAGTTCGATACTACAGTCATGAGAGAACGACAAGGAAGAGACTTTGAGCTGACGTTACTTATATATCTCCATATATAGTGTTGGCCTTTGCAGAATTAACAGAATCTTTCGAAGTGTCCTGATAGTCAGGCCTCTTTCTGCTGTGCTGGATGCTTCGTCAGTTTTCCATTTGATTTTGACGCAGACTGGACTCCGGCGTCTTGTTACAAGGACTGTAGCTGTTAGAATATCGCTCAGCCGGCAGTCATGGTAAAAGCATCTCACCATACATCGGGTTCACGACGTCAAGCTCGTGATATCGTGTGACAATGGCTTGGCCTGAGATAACCTACATATTGAGGTTCTTCTGTGCTGTAGGAGAATGCAAAGGCGTCTTTATATCATCTTTACCCCGGAAGGACCCGACCTTAAATACCGTAGCACCTGCCCTTTTCTCATACTGGTAGCCGTTATCTGCCAGATTATGAGATAACGTCCACTAAACACATTGCGTTTAGAAGTATTGAAGTACCAGCATGCTAATGACTGACTGAAGGGTAGAGGATTGCTTCCCCCCCCCGCGGGGATCGTCTGTCAACAGCCAAACACCTTACTGGCTATAGGTACCGCCTTTTTTATTTCTAAGCATTTCGGTAGCTGAGGGTATGATTTCTTTGAGCTGTACTGCCAATCCCCTTCTGTTATATTTTTTCTGGTCTCGGACTTGGGTTGATGTGCCCATCTGCTGTGTGGGATTATCAAAACCTCATCACTATTTTCTTTGCGGTAGCCAAACCGCGCTGCGGCTCCTGGTGTACCGGTTTAGAGCAGTCACTGAAAGCCGCTCAAAGACATATTCTTTTGAGTTATTGAATCTCGGAAATAATAGAAATAAATGGAACCCCTTGGACTGTATACAAGCCGTACGCTTTGAAGTCCTCTCCATGAAATACACTTGGCGTATATATCATCGTGGCTGGATTGAGAGAATTAGACTCTGATTCGAGCGAGTCTAACGGGACGGACTAATTCAGGCGGATGCGATCCGCAGACTTCAATGCTTCAGGACGTACAGCCAGCCGGTCAGCTTAGCCACCCCAGTAATTGGTTTTTGCTTTTGGCCCGGGTACGTGCCCAGAATTGAGGCCGTGTGCGGAGTATGGGGTATTTTTCTATGATCACTAGGCTTTTGTTGTCTAGCTCACGTGATGTTTTGGTTTGGTTATATTGTTTCTGAATCTGCACAATTAGGGTATTCCGGTGAGGGTTTCTGACTACAAGGTGCTACTATTCAAGGCATCTATGATTCTCACTCACCGCCACAATCGGATTACACGGAGTCTGCTCTTCGATGCAGGTGACGGTCTCATGAATGTGGGGTTTTGACACTGAACAGTGTAGTACAACCGGACGGGCCGGCTGGCTGATCGATCTACAGCTCTTATTGCCTAAAAGCCGTACCGAAAAGTTTCAAAATATAGGTTCCAAAAAGGAACTGTCGCATAATCGATAAGTCCGGTGACATACTATGGAAAGTAAGGAGAGATGGAGCTCGAGCCTGCATGGTGCTGAGTAAACTATTTTCAGTTGTATCGCGGGTTTATAAAGACAGCATAGTCACCCCAGTTCTGGAGATTTCCCAAGACATATCCTTCCTCGCTTTGAGCATTCCTTCAGATACTGAATAGAATTACTACTTTTCGTATCAAAAATTCAAACATGAAGTTCCTCACTATCCTCTCCACCGCCCTCTTTGTCGCCTTTGTGGCAGCTACTCCTGCCAACGAGGATATGGCGAAGCGACAGGTATAGAAACCCGCGCAGAAATATTCCCCACCTACATTTCATGATGTATAACTGATAGATATAATTATAGGCTCTTGACGATGGCTGTCAAACTGAACAGGCTAGTGACTGCTGCTACTCTTGCTGGGATCAATACGCCAACGATCATACCTTTGATACGGGCAGCTGTTGCAGCCGCTGTGGCTGTCAATAGATCATATCCCGCCTAAGCCACGGATACAGCCATTAAGTCAAGGATATAATATGTACAAGGACTGGACAGACATACAGTGACTGGACTGTCTTAATTCTATTGTATCCTAGAAGTAAGAAAGTCGAACAATGAAGGTTCAAGATTGGGTGACGACAGAAGAGTGTTAAGTCTTGATCCAAACTAGTTTGCCAGTGGGCCAAAGCGATACGTCACTGGCAACCAAGAAGCAGGGTGACTCAAATATCTCATAATTACAATTGGCTCTATCTCGGTTACTTTGGTGGCTTAAAGGTGTATTAAGTACTACGTGAAATAGATGGAGCGAAGCCGATCTGCCTCAACTTGCAGGCCAGACTGCTATCAACAAATTCAAAGTGAATATGTCCCATTGGATGGTAATTTGACACTGTCTGAACAAAAGCAGTTTATCTACTGCAGCTAACTGAATGAAGGTCCATGGCCTGTGATTTCAGTCAAATCTCGACATGCTCATCGCTACCTGCATTCTCCATGCATGTTGGACAAGGTGGCGATAAGCATGCTGGTCTTCACTTGTTCCATATTTTTTTTTATTTGGTTGGTTGTATATTTGTAGTACAGCAACTGGCCAATTGCCTTCTCCAAACCCCCCATTCTCTTTGCAGTCAAATGTTAGACCAGTAAGGCCATATGCAATGTGACTCAAGCGGGACGGACCGAAGGAATGAAGCGGACAATGTATCAGTCCCACTTATCTATTACGCAATTATCAACTGCGGGACACCGCCCACATTACTCTCGCAGTGTGGACTGACGATGTTCTGCAATACGCAGAGGAAGTGTGCTTCGAGGACCTGAATCACTCTTCCACATTGCCGAAGTTAACAGTAACGAGCCATGGCTACTGCAGGCCTGACGAGCCAGATGAACGCAATCAATCAGCACAACTGGACTCAGTCTTCTTTCACCTGATAGCGCCTGATAGAAAAGAAGCTAGCTATGCAGGTGCAGCTTCTGAGACAGGAGTATGACCATAGAAATTCTCAACCCTAATAGCTCGAGAAGAAAACTAGCACATTGCAACACATATTTTAGCAATCAGTGATGTAGCTATACTCAAGCAATAGGCCGTATAGATCTGAAGATATATTCTACCTGATTGCAAGAGTAAATCATCTCACTCAACCCGTTCTTCTTCTTTTGTTGCTCGTCCCTTCTAGTATGCATACCCTTCCCTGAGAGACTGGAATCAGTACATTATAAGGATCCCTACTCCTGCACCATAAGCATCTATTCCCATTACCCATAGTACTATGTGTCCCTTAATTTAGATAAGGATTTGGCTTAGGATGTAGCACAGACTGGACTGAGCTTTACGAGCGAGCGTGTCTACAGCGTGAACAAGCCTATATAGCGGAACGCCCGCAAGCAGGTGAACGTGCATCATTGAGCAAACCCCAGCTATATAGATATACTCGAAGGAATGAAGAGGCCCTAGATACAACCTTGATACTTCACTATACCCTCCGTTAAACACCTGTAAGCTTCATAACTGGTTCGGCTTGGCGATCTTTTCTTCTTTTGGTGCTACATTGACTTCCCGGTCTTCGGCCCTATTTTGAGAATGTGGGATACATAAGACATTGTCCAAAATTCATTTGAATAGTACCTCCACTGCCGGTCGTGTCCGAATGTTGCAGTAGATACGGTCTACTTATTGTACTCTGTAGCCAAATTTGAGGAACAAGTCACTTTCCCTGACCGTATTAGGCTATCTCCTATGCTTACTATTATCATAGACCCCCCCTGTTACGCTATTCAAATGCGCTCAGACCTACAGTACTTGATCTTCATTCTACCATCACATCCTCCGTCCAGAAAGTCGTATGAAAAACTCTGCAAAAGACCATATCTTCTCATACCCGACATAATGGTCTCATACGTCCTCTCCACGATCTTCCTTGCCGCACTTCTGGCAGCTGTGCCGGTGAACAACATTGGAAATGAAATTGACATCGACATGATGAAACGAGGAGTTTGTAAGATTCAATTCTACAAGACCCAGTCTCTAGATACACTATATTGAAAAGTAAATGTGAGATATAAATAGACGAGTACTATTTGCCCCGATGAGGCCATGAACAATTGCAGTTGTTATTGCCAAAATGCCGAAACGTCCTTTACTCCGGGAGTAGCACATGTATGCTGCGGCTTATGCGGCTGCGGAGCTGTTCAATGGTCGAAACCTCCGGTCTCATGCCCGGCTGTAGGGCTGTGGGTGTTACAAACGAGCCATCATGGTCTCCGCTCCTGAGTTACCCTACTAAATTAGGTTCTTTCATATCGTTATGCGAATGCAAAGACTTGTTTGTTACATACCTTACGGATTATCCGGATAATGAAAGGTCCTGTCCCTGAGTTCGCAATGCAGTGTTATAGGGGAGACCCCCAAGGCTGCATATGTGACCTCGTGGATGACGCATGCATTATTTCAGCAGTTACATCGAGCCACCCTCGTTATGAAGATATATCAAATACTGTGTTCGGAATTTGAATATCTAAAATGACCGCGTAAAGCATAGAATTCTAGATAGCTGACATTAATATACAGATTACATTGACACCCCTACGATAAGCTTACACCGTACTTTGATGGCGCCTTGGGGCGCCTTGGTGATGTGCTGCAATCCTAGAATAGTAAGCCAGGCCTAGCATTTAGTAAAGCCCCTGAATATCATTAATTAGGACTCAAGCAGTAGAGTTGGTTAGTATGTGCCATTGAGATCTGTGATATACGCATAGGATATATATTGACCTGGAAGGAGCTTCAAATACCATACAAGTAGAGTCGCGGACAATACGAAAGAACCAGGCCTAGCTAAGGGCATTGTCTAAGCGATGTAGTTATTGTCCTTTGCAGAAGTTTACTAAGATATACAGTTGCGTTACCATTAAAATTATTGCTTGGAATTCATTCTTTTAGTTACGTTGGATGCTAAGAAGCGAGTCAGTTTCTGACCGAGACAGGAGACAGTCCGGATGGCACGGATATGAATGTCCTCGGCGGTAACTGAAGTAGGGCTGTGAGGTAAAAGGACCGACCCAGGGGGGGCGTTGATAATTTTCTCTCCATCATGACAAGTACACAATGCCATGAAACCCAGTAAAACCTCCACCGTTTCTCTGAGTATTTTTTAGCTGGACTCCGCTAGTGCATGAGCCTAGTTACGCACACGCCCTGGGTTCCGCTGGAATCAGAAAGACATATATGACGGTACCTTTGCCACATTCTCATTCAAATATATTTCATATTGAATAAGGCAAACGGCATATCCTTAAGGTCAAAGTATAGAAAGCGCTTGTGCTAACCCCGGAAGTACAAAAGCGACATCCCACCCACGGTAAGACAGTTCGAATCTCGGATTAGGTTCCAATTCTTTACTTACCTTGATCTTCCTGGAATTCCCGTTTCAGCACTATCTTCCCACCCAATTTATTCAGCTAACCATTGTTATATCGAGGCCCATGTACTCCTTGCCTGTCACTGGAATTGCGGTTGTCGAAAATTCAACAACCTTGCACCCCATACCTAGTTTCTTCCATTGCTACTCCATGAAAGTGCCTTAGTCGTGACAGAAATTGCTTCTTACTATCATGCATATTCGATAGCGTCTCTGCCTCTCTTTACAGGACCCGAAAATCATGGGTCTCTCGACAAGTTGCGAGTCTCAACTATCTTACTCAGCTAGCACAGGTAATGCTCAAAAACTTTTAAATGCATTTGACTATGTCGACGTGCCTCGCAATCCATAGTAAGCTAGGCAATGTGATAGGTAATATCCTGCAGGTACAGTGGCTGGCTGATCGGTGGCGGTGTCGGAACACACGTAATTGTTTGCAGGGTGAAGGAGAGACTCAGTCATTTAGCGGCTACGAGAAGCGGCTTAATTCCTACCCACCCCATTGAATATCTTTGTTTTTGGGCTCAAGGTCCTGGTCTAGTAAGTCTCTTGACGACCGTTTCTTGGATTTCTTTATTTTTCAGACTATTGATCCTATCCAGGTATGATCCTGCAAAGTCGGCGAAATGTTTGGAAACAAGTAACGGTGAGACTATCTGACTATTTGAACTTTATTGCCTGTCGCATCAACTAACTGCAGCTAGATTGCAGTGAAATCCTTCTCCAAAGTACATGATACGCTTCATACCCCGTATCTGACTTAGTTGCAGCAAATTATGAAGAGGCAAATGCAGCATGCAAGGGCCTGAGGAGGCTGAAACCGGAGTCCACCAGTACGGTTGCCTCCATGAGTCCATGCTCAAAGACAGTGTGTAGTGACATAATTACAATCTGTTCAGCCTTTCATGCTCTAATATCCTGTTTCCGTTTCAGAAAATGATTATAAAAGCGCTCCTGATGTCGCCGTCTCACGCGGATGCTAGCATGAAGAGAAATGGCGTAAAGAACACGTGTAGCCACCTCATAGTTCGGGGCAAAATGTGTTCATGCAGGGTGTATTACATATCCGATGAGAACGCATTCGTAATGGCCATTGCTCAATCTGCAAATGCTCATCCGTACTACTATATTGAACGACTGACTCTTAGTTAAATGGCCCAATAAAGTTCAGCTCTGCTGGTGAATCGAGGGCAAACATGCAGGTCGCATTTCAATAGTCGCCTCTTTTGAAGTAGTGTCGCGGTCAGGATAGAGTTCTGTAGGAAGCAGATCATACTAAGAAGTATCAAGATATACATCGGCTAACTGAGGATATCCCTTGCCGCTAAATGCGTTGCCATGCTCACCAGTCTGGTAAGGCAATCACACAGTGAAGTCCATCCAAGTATTTAGTCTGAGTACTCCCCCCAGCTGTTCAGTCTCATTACATCTCATTACATCCTCCAAAGAATTCTACCTGCTCTACAACTTCATCCTCTGCCATCATGAAGGTCTCAGCTGTCCTCTTCGCCGTCCTCTTTTCTGCCTTCGTGGCAGCCACCTCTGAACACGATCCTGCGGCAAAGATTGGTGCATCCATTGGGAAGCGAACGGTAGGGAGCTGAGGTCCCATTTATTTTGTCATTCATAGACCGTCCAGCAGAAATACTGACTATAAGGCTTGATAGGAGGCCGACTCTGCTTCGTTATGCGACGCACTCGATGACCTCGTCTGTTAAGCTACATGCCTCGATAACAGCTATCCAGCCAGCTGCACCAGCGATTGTGTCTGTGATATCGAATGACGTCAAGAGAAAGGGGAGTGTTGGCAAAAACGCACCTTCAGCGTTCATACGCCATCTTGTGTCTCTGTTTTCTTTATGTGACTGAACTTGACTATTATCCACCGTGCCTCAGTATAGGCTTCTCCTTATGACTTGGATTTCCTATACTCTTATACAAATACGAAGGCTCGATCAGAGAACTACCATGATTCCACGTATCCTACCGTTTATCCTGACAGCCGAATCGTGTATTCTCTATATTATTTAAGCCACGGACTGCAATTTCTTATAAGAATAGCGGCTTTTGATAGACTGTATCGATAGCATCCTGTCCCATCAATTTGAGTAACATAGTATAATTTCTCTGGACCATCCTAAAGATTTGATTTGGGTTTCCCAGCTGCATCACCTGCTATATATATCTGATATCGAGATAGATATACTCGATCTAACATGACGAAGTGACATCTTGCAGCCCAGTCAACTGTCTTACCAGACCCATCTTTGAATACGCAGTCGAGAGTTCCATGCACCATAGCCACATTAGAATTAGGTCCGTACGGGAAAACCTGCTTGAGGCGATGCGTGCAGTGCTTAGTTGGATTCCACAATGCTTTCCTCAGGGCATATATTCCTGTCGAATCATCAATGATTGGGGTGAGCCTTATAAAAACCTAAGACATGACCCTGTCAAGCTCACCTTCTCGACCACGTGCTTCCCTTTCTCCCATTATTACCGTAGCATCGGGCGTAAAGCATTGTGAATATTTCTAGTGCTCATTTGGTGAGTCCATCAGGAGATAGAACTCATTTAAGAATCGCTTATAAGCAGGATCGAAGGGTATTGAGGGGTAGTCCGGGCCGCCCATTCCCGGCCTTCCTAACGCTGGTGTTAGACTTAGTTAAGTAGTACTTCGTACGCTATGGCCAAGTACTTACCATCGTTCGGCAGGATGGCCAGTGCCTGTTGTCTGTATTTCTCATCCAGAAGTACAGTTTCTGCTAGACTTGTATCGAAGAAACATCTCACTTGAACGATCTTCTTTTTGCAGTGCCAGGAATAATGTTGGCTATACAAACGATTGCCCAGTTTTGTTCGGGTGTCTTTGGTCTTCAACTCAACGTTAACCCACCCTTCATCGTTTCTTGTGATGCTATCAGGGCAGGCTATTTCAAATATAGGGCCTGGTTCTGCTATCAGTTTGATGATAGGCAGCCACACCTTATCCAAGAATTCTGCCTTCGACCTGCATATTCCTGATAAAGCGTTTTGTCCTGTGATTTCCCAGTGCACATTGTCATCGACGTGGTTGAAGAAGGATTCGTAGCCGCGAGGGACTTTGCTTAATTCTCCGAATATGGATAGAATCTCGGCGTTGGTGAGAAAAGACATAATGAGGCGTCGTTGGGGGGAAGCGTATGCTGGGTGACACTCATCAATGACATCCTCTGTAACGGAGGCCAAGGTAAGATATTAATACTGAATGGCAGGCCTGATGACAGCTTATCAAACCTAAGCGTTCATTCTGCAGCAGTTGAAACCAGCCACATTCCAGGTAAAAGTTAAACATGCGGTTCGATCTTCCACAATGCCAGTGTCCTCAGCGTTGTGCCAAGAAAGAACAACTTCGCTCTAGTCATATCTACACGTTTCATTCCAATATCTAAACTTCTACCTTTCTCCATATTTCAACCATAAGGTTTATTCGTGTGTCTGACTTGAAGACTCATATCATGAAGATGATCCACGATCCCAAAGTTACCATTCTTTCTGATTGAAAGTCAATGACTCGGCTTCCCGGATGACGAGATGAATGAGCCGTAGTGGAGTACTAATTAAGTATGGAGAGAGCTCAAAACCTTGTTGTTCGAGGATTGAGAAAGTTTTACATGTAAGTGGCGATCCCATAATTAGTGTACAGAACTGAGCGACGGTGTGGGGAGTCACAACCTTATAGTGGAAAAGCTGAGTGCGAGTCTCCGCAAAGGTCCGAAATTATGAAATGTTCGAGACGTAAGAAAAGCCTTGCTTGGGCAACATTACATTCGAGACCATTACAGTCTCGGCCCTTTCAATTGGAAAGAACGCGTCGGCGAGGTGCAATCCATCTTGATTGTCAACCTCCTCCTCTACTTCCTGAGAAACGATCAAAGCAGTACTCTCATCCATATATCTGACCCATCTATAGTGGCGTGCATGCATTGACTTCCACTTGAAGGAATGCGTCGAAACCATTGAATAAGCGACATGCCAACGAACGGGTCCGGAGATTCCTATCATGAAACAGTCCACATTGGCTACACGAATTGGTTAACCCTAGCGATTGCTCAGAGAATATTTACAGTCGCTATTCCAGCCATTGGCAATGCTCGGGAAATAGAGTTCGGCATAGAATAGATCTGCACTTCCCAGAGTTTCCGAATGGCAAAACACAAGGCATTACCGGAAGAGGAACTAGGGGAGAATCGGGCTTTATGAATGACCTGGAGAAGTTTTCCGTAAGCTTAGCTGATTCTCTGCAGAGCCATCTAGAATCGAAACCTATAAAGGCTATACCAATGACTTCACCACTTCCTACATTGTCAAAACCAACACTCCATTGCCTCTGCGGACGGATATGGCAACGTATGATGTCAAACTCAAATGGATTTTGTCAGTCTGTTATCAACGTGGAGATTCGACATTACGCCTTGAACCAAATTGTAGGCAGCGAGCCGGTATGCTTATAAGCAAATAGTAGCTCCACGGTCACACGGGATCGGGAATGCTGTCCTTCCTTTGTTTCTTCAGACGATGCCGATCCCTAACCGTACAGTAACCCTTCTGACACATAACGACATTCCTCACCATAACCACTCATTTATCCTTTTAATATGGAGACGCTCTCGGAGAGGCTTCCTGTGTATCTCCACTGGGCACCACTGTTCATCCTCGGTCTGATTTTCATCAACTACACCATAGGAGTTATCAAAGCCACCAAGTCTCCTCTCTCACGGATTCCGGGGCCATGGTATACATTTCTCACAACATTACATCTCAACTATGCATTCGCAAGAGGAACGATATGGAAATCCGTCGAGAAGTCCCACGCACAATACGGCCCGATCTTCCGCCTCGGACCGCGACAGGTTTGGATTTCAGATAAAGAAGCCATCAAGGCCATTCTTATGACAGTTGATCTGCCGAAGGTCACCATGTATGCAGAAATATCGAGAGATCGGACTAGCCCTGGATTGTTTGGGGAGATGTAAGTGCCCTGCTACTTTCCTTTTCCTCGAGGTGGATGGCAATACGGATGAGACGGTTTGATCGAAGTCTCATACTGATCTACTATGAAGTCGACCAGATCCCCATAAGCGACTTAAAAAGTTCCTGTCTCTAGCATTCACGATTGCGTATGTTGATGGTCTCGAGTTTCTGTTCTCAAAATGTGTGGGTGACCTGATCAATCGATATGTGGATCTGCTGTCATGCCCCTCGCCAAAGGGCGAGAAAGCGCCGGTAGTCACGGACCTGATGGAAGATTTGCATAGTCTTGCCCTTGACATGTAAGTATTATGATGCAAAAGTCCAACTCCGTAGAACACTTTGTAGTAACATTACGCAACCCCAGAATGGGGGAATGCTCCTTTGGCAACGGCTTCGGCCAGACGAACAAAAACAGGAAACTAGAACTTGAATTTGACGAGGACATATGGCGAACAATCCCAACAGCCATCTTCAAAGGGATGACTCGGCGATACCAGGTAGTCAATGAATTTTTCGAGTTAAAGAGAGGAGTGAGCGACCTGCTAACGCAGAATCAGTTTGTTTACATCAAGCGCCTTATGAGGAGACTCGGCCTAAACATCGAATTTGACTGGCCACGAGAGATGATTGCTGTAGCTACATCCCGTGAAGTGTTTACAATTGTGATCAAACTAACTGACAATGGCATAGGCCATATCCGCAGTCGCAGGTCATTGAAAAGCAACCCCGAAAGTGTCCGTCCTGACCTTCGGCAACACCTTCTCGAGAATGGCGAAAGACCAGACCGCGGAGTCAAAATGGAAACCAGAGATGTCATTGACCAAATGTCTGAGATATTGATAGCCGGATCTGAAACGACTTCCGGAACAATCGCTTGCTTTTTCCTCGAATTATTGCGGAATCCAGATACGAAGGAGAAACTGGTGAAAAGCCTGCCGGTCCTTCAACCAAGTGACCCAATCATCTCAAGCAAGACAGTCCGAACGTCTCCTGAATACGAGTATCTCGAAGCATGCATCAAAGAGGTGCTCCGACTACACCCCATAGCGTCTGAGATGGGTCGTCGGACTGAAAGACGGATACTACCTTCCTGCTCATACGATTGTATCTGCATCTTATCGCCAACTTCATCGGGATCCGAAATACTGGAATGAGCCCCTGCGCTTCTGGCCTGAACGATGGCTAGATCCTCGGCCTTCTGATGTACCTGCACCTAAGTAGGTCTATATTATTATCACCGGGTGATGCCAAGTGCTGATTTTCTTTGCTCAGCATGCAAGCTTACTATCCATTTTCCGCTGGAAAGCACTCATGCATTGGCAAGAAGTACGTCTCGAATCCATCCTTCCTCTCTATCTTGGACACCTTTTCTGGAATTCCTTTTCTTCGTCTTTACCTTCAAGGTAAACGGTAACTAATCTGTTTGTAACAATTCAGCTTCGCCATGGCAGAAATCAGAATGTTAACCGCCAATATCTTTTCACGATTTGATCTGGCCGAGGTACCCGGACAGAATAACGACTACAGACAATATATCACAATGCAGTTTGAGAAAGGATCGTGGAAGGCTTTCTTGACGCCAAGATACCAACAGTCTCATCCAGTGTCGGCCACTACAGCTTGATTGAATATCGCCTTATAGATGCAGTGCAGACTAAAAAGCTATTTATAATGGTTGTATCGGAGAGACACAGATATCTATTATTCTGTTTTGGTTTCCCTCGGAATAGATAGGAATAACACCAGACCCCTCCGCCATGTTAATGTGTCAACAAATCTATAAGCCCGGAAAATGAAGCACGTCCTAAAAGTGTGTCCACGGTATCGAAATCAGCAGACTGGGACATCTTGATCATCACAGGTATCGGACCCACTTGCATGTAAATGCCTGCCACGACCACACATGTACGGCACTAACTCTGACATCTATATCATGAATTATATGTAGACAGATTGAGAATGAAATATTACAGGTATTGATTTATCGATTCGGTGATTCCGTTTTCAGTCTGACTGGGTGTCTGAAGGTGTTGTCAGATAGCTATACAAACTCTCAATAGCTAGGTATGTATAGTACTTCATTATTTTGTACTATGGAATATCATTATTCGATCTTCAGTAGTGCAGGACGTCTATAGACTGGAAAACCTTGCAGACAATTTCATCTGCATTTGATAAGGAGACAGTACTCGAAAGAGATCTGTATAAAGATTATATTGTGTAATTCTTGTGATACGTCTTCTCTCATAGTAAAAATACATTCACCCATCCCTCTTCAAATATGTTTTACTAATTATGGTAGCCACAGGTTTGAATGACTGTTATGATATCCAATAAATACGATCAGGGCACTCAACCATTGGATTTTTCTATAGTGCTAGTCAGGATAGTCACTACTACACCATCCCGGCTGCATTACAAGCATAAAGGGAGGGATAGGAGTAGAGAAAAAAGGTTAAGAAGAAAAAGCTATAGATACAAAAATTCAAGATTTTATTAATAGATGGTTCGACATGGAACCAAAACTAGACGAGATAATAATTAAACCCATAATGTAGATGGATAAATAGTCGGTGCCATGGCCACGCGCTTAAAGAAGCGATCCCAGAGCAATGCAGGGGAGACCGAGACCGATGAGGTCACCCTCCTGCAATACATCAGTATGAGGGGTCAAGAAGGGGTCAGGTGGTTGATTGCTTACAGTGTCGCTGCCACTGCCCTGGCAGCAGGCGGCAGTCTGCTCGCACTGGTCGTTGAGCAAGTTTTGCAGGCCGACAAGGTCAAGGGCTATAGATGTCAGAGCCAATTCTTATCCCGTATCGAGATACATACCCTGGAGGTCAAGCGGGGAGCAGTCGTCGGCCAGGCCAATACCCTGGGAGCCGGAGCCAGAGCCAATGAGGCCGCTCAGGAGGCCAGACAGAATACCGCTGTCGATATCGGTGGAGTCACCTGCATAAGTGGCCTTGTTGCAGCAGGAGAGCTGGTTGCCGCTACCGCAGGAGTCGGCTCCCTGAGAGACAGTCATGCCAGCAGGGGCAGGGATGTGGTTGACAGCGCGGCCGCGGACGGAAGGCTGAGCCACAACCACAGTGGCAAGAGCGAGAGCAGCAGCAGCAGTGAACTTCATTGTGACGGTGGAGTGGTGACTCGAAAGAGTGCTGGAAGATGATTTGAATCGGAAGATAGAAGTAGCTTGGTGATTGAGCGAATGGCTGATGATGATGAGGATGAGAAGAACGAGGGTTGAACAGGGCTATTTATGCCTTTGTCTTGCCAGATCGTACCTGACCCCGTCCGAGGTCGAACATGGCTAGTTTCACTAGATGTCGTCGCATTCGTGGCAGGCTTACTGTTTGCGTGAATTGTAGAGTTGCATCCAGAAGGGCAGATCAGGCACGAGAGAGGCCCTTCGCAAGATTCTGAACGCTGGCGTTGCATTTCCGACCCTCCAGCTGGGTCCTCGATGGAGCCTATCTCACGATCTAGTGTGGAGGGCACACAGAGGTTACACAAGCCGTGTGGTAAGCCGTGCGGTGACAGCCATCCCTTGCTTGGCGCTCCCGGCAGGCTTTTTAGCCAGCGTCGCATCCCGCATTCTTAGCCGTCGTCTGGGAGCCTTAGCCGGGAACGCCTTTCCCGGTTCCTGGTGCTTGTGGAGGGTCAGTTCATCCGTCTTCGGTGCCGACCGGCTTCGTTGCTCATTTGCTTCCTCGGGCTCACCGGTTAAACACCGATACACAAAGGTGACAGCTACATCAGTTGTTTTCAGATGTCTGGGAACGTAATGTGTCCCCCAGAAGGTCTGAATTTCGGCATGACTGCAGCATTCTGCCAGGCGGTACGTAGATTTTGGCGTGATCATTGTGTCCACTTCGCCAATGTAGAGTAGGGCAGGGGTGCGAATCCTCGGATCATACAGATCTCTATACATGGGATGGCCGAGCATAAAACCACTGTATGCGACGACAAATTTGAGCGGTGGATGAGTGGTCTGCCAATGTAAGCCAGAGAATCGGCCAAGTTACACAAATATACCCACACTGACGCCAAAAACAAGGCCGCGATCTCGCTCCTCCAGTAAGGATGCGATGATCATCGCCAGGGTAGCACCGGTCGAAAATCCAATTATACCAGCAACCGGATTAAGGTGCTCCAGCTGCTTTAGCACACGCTTCACACTCTGTTCCAGGCCCGAGATCCGCTGGCAGTCAAAAATCCCATACCCCCAAACCTTGGACTCCATATCTGGGCCGTTCACGTCGAAAGGTGCTTCACTGTAATGGAGCTTGAAATGTGGTAGTGATCGGTTGCTCTGAGACCCACCTGCATTGAGGGCCTCTTGGAGGAAGTGCGTTTCGCGATGGAACATATCAATCGATTGACCATGGCCTACAGACGGGTCAGTGCTGGTACATGGCCTGGATTACTTGGTTCTGACCATGAAGCATTAGAATGTTGGCCTGTTCACCAGTAATCGAGATATCTCTGCTATCTGCATAGTTACGTAAGTAGCCTAACGGCGACGGCTGAATTCCTGTCATTCCCAAGCTGATGAAGTATCGACTTTCTCAAGCAATCAAGTGTTTACAAAGCCTAGATCACACTGCCATTAGTAGAAGGCAATGTGCAATATTGCGTAGGAACTACGTCGAGCTGACGGAGAGCGGTTAAGTTGACCGAAGGTTGTTTACCATTGCACCTCATTGGCACAGGGATTAGGAATCCTAGTTGTTGGTGCATTCCATATATTTCAGTTGAATGCGAGTTGAGATATGGCGGCGAAAAAGTAACTGTTTTTCGCCTATTGAAGCCTCATGTTAGGGTCCCGAGGCATTTCTGCGCCATCTCTCCATAGCATGGCACATGCATTTCGACTCCAATTGGTACCATAGCGGGATACAGAATATAGTCCTGAAGGAGCAAGTCTCGTCAATCAAATACCCATACACTTCGTAGATGCCCGAAAAATAAGGCTTAGAGGTTCGAAGCAGTGGCACGGCACGCAACCGGAACTTTCTGGAATGCAGCTGTGCATCTGAGCATACAGTCCAATCTAGGAGTCATGTGATAAGCCACAGCATGATTTCCCTCTTATCAGAAGACCAGTACCGATAGGTATGCCCAAAAGGCGTAGACGCTTTAGAGAAGTAGAAGTGAGGAGAAGAAGGGAAGGAAATGGAAGCTAGAAAGGGATCTGTTACTGCCTCAGGCACTAAGGCGGTGAAGGGCGGTCGGGACCCTTCATTGGGAATCCCCGCAACTTTGCCAGCTCAACGACGTCAGCCTCTCCCAGTCTCATCCTCGCCATCATGAAGCTCGTTTATCTAGGAGTAAGGAAATGGCGGAAGCTCCCTGTTTATTGTTCTTACTATCTAACCCAGATCATCTTGACAGATTCTCCAAAATGCCCAAGCTCCCGCCGTGGAGCTCTGCGCCGAGCGCGACCTCAGCAGCTACTCGCGCTTCACCAAAGGCAGCGTCAGCGAGTTCATGACGATGTTCAGTAAGACCGTCGCCGAACGGACGAAGCAAGGACAGAGACAGGACATTCAAGAGCAAGGCAAGTCGGCGTCCCTCGGTGTCATCTTTCCATCGCCTCTGCGGCAGCCCCTGACCGCCGGTCGCCTACAGATTTCACATTCCACGTCTACGCGCGAACCCAAGGCATCGCCGGAGTGATCATTAGCGACAATGAGTATCCATCCCTGGCTGCTCACCAGATCCTCTCGAAGATGCTCGACGAGTTCCTCTCCCTGAACCCGAACGCCGCCTCCTCCCGTGACCCCGTGCCCTTCCCCTCCCTCAAGACCTACATCCAGGCGTACCAGGACCCACACCAGGTGGATAGCATCCTCAAGATTCAGAAGGAGCTGGACGAGACCAAGATCGTTCTTCACAAGACCATCGAGAGCGTATGTGCTGCGCGGGAACATATGGGTAGAATGATGCTAACCCCGACCAGGTCCTCGAGCGCGGTGAGAAGATCGACGATCTTGTTTCCAAGTCGGAGGGACTTAGTGCCCAGTCGAAGATGTTTTACACCTCTGCGAAGAAGCAGAATTCGTGCTGTGTGATCATGTGAGCAGCGCGTGGAAACCAACGCCGGTAACACCCACGTCGAGAATCATTCTCGACACGACCCTCAAGATAGAGGAATTAGTGTGGACCTGGAGATCATTTTTCTGTGAATTATTTGGAAGCGTTCTGTTGCTACAGGCATTCGTTTATGGTTTCTTTGACCAGGCTGGATTTGCAGGCACATGCGGGACAGGTTTGATTTACGGTAGACGAACAAATAAGCCCGAGAGCAATAAAGTGGCTTTATGACTAGAGAGGGCATGGCCGGGCATCAACTTTGATGTGTAGGGGGGAAGAAAGTAGACCCGAAACCACCAACTGTCCAGCTATGCAGTCACCGGATAGTGAGTGCGATGTACTGTGGCCTCGTTCCAGCAGTGGATCCGTAGAGGGGCACATCTGCGATGCTTATCTATGCTCGGGATCCGGCACGGTGATTGGCCCAACCAGGCAGTGCGATGCCTAAGTATAAATATTAGACTTATTTATTGCAAATCATGGGGAGATATTAGCTCATCCTCGGGCCCTAGTCTGCCAGTGCATCGACTTGAGCACTGTAGAGTCCCTGGACTGGCTGCGGCACCACGCGACCACCCCTAAGCACCCAATCGGCACTAACCCAGGTACAAGGACTTGCCAGCTGGATGAGTGTCACTGTCGGATTGTTTCACCTCTTCTCTAACATGCTGTTGAGAATAGTCTACGTGTGCCAGGTACCATCCAGTGAACCCTGCAAATCGGCCGATCATGCGGAGGGCGGCCACTCGGTCAGGTACGTTTAGGGCTTCCCAAGGCCGCACCCCCTCCACTCCAAGCAGCAGCACAACGAACAGCATCATTGGCGGTGGATCGCCAACTCACCTGTCCTGGCAATGCCTTCTAGAACACGCTCCACCTCAACCCAAAAAAGCCTCAGTTTCCATTAGGTACAGGAAGTGCCGGCTTGGGTAAGGCGGTGCCTATCGCCAAATCACCGAGGGTACCCGGGTCCCGGCCCGGTTGATGCCATTGGCCCTTGCCGCCGAATATCGTCCCCCCCTCGATTCGGCAGCCTGTTTTGTGTGGGAGATTAGTAGGAAGAAGTATTGATTCACGGTGTGTTGGGCAACCTGGTGATGCGGGCGGTCATGACTCTATCTCATTTCTTATAAGCCTTGAACCCGGGGTTGTCCACTCCTTTTGTCGGTCCCTCATTATTCTCTCTACTCTTTCACTCCTTTTTACCCCGGTTCAGCGTTGCTTTCAGCGGTACATCCCATCTATCTAGGTGAGTGGCTCCCCGCCATTTCCCCCATCTATACTCATTTTGTATACTAACCACCCCTCAGTATACCACTCCTCTCACGTCGTTCCCTAGCTTCGACTTTCCTTTGTGTCATCTGCATAGAAGTGCTCCGTGTCCAACACTGCCACTACATCTGATTCTTCAATCGGAGCGAGGAGTGGCTCGCTGCTCGTCAGCATGGATTTCGACTTCCCTGTTCATCAGTCTCTGCCCTTCGCGGGGCACCGCAGCCGGTTGGGTGACTTCCTCACGGCGGATGTGATGGTTGCTGCAGGTTCGGCAGCCTTGGTCACTCCCGCTGTCATGATCCTAGACAGGTAGGAGCCTCCTCTCCTGCTCACCTACCTGATAGTGGTACTGACCATCATCCAGACTGGTCGTCGAGAAGTCATCACACAACCAACCTATGCTCCCTGCTTTCCGCCGACACCTCTGGCTCTCCATCACACAGCCTGCCACCTTCCTGACCTCTCGACCCAGTCTGCTCGTCTGGTCTCTCTACACAGCCACCTTTGCGGCTGCCAATGCCACGGAGACCATCCTGGACCAAGTTTACCCTCACGTCGACCACGCCATGGCAGGGGTGGCCACCTTCATGAGTACCTTTGTGGTCAACTCGTCTGTGGGCATCTGGAAGGACGTCAAGTTCGCCCAGCTGTTCGGCCACAGCAACGCCACCCCTCCCACTCCTGCTCCCAAGACCACGACGTCTGCTGCTCCGTCCCAAAGCAAGATCCTCCGCTCCGTCAGCCGCACCATCCCCTTTGCCACCTACTCGGCCTTCCTGGTGCGCGATGCTCTCACCATCTTCGGCTCCTTCAGTCTCCCCGCCATGGTCTCGGCCTCCATCCCGGACTCTATTGCCTCCAGCGAATACCTGAAGATCCTGTTCGCGCAGCTCGCCATTCCGGCCTCCATTCAGCTGGTCAGCACTCCAATTCATCTACTCGGGCTTGATCTCTACAACCGGCCCATGCAACTTTCGGCCTCGGACCGATTAAGTCGGGTGAGCAGGGACTGGATCGGGGCGTCCCTGACGCGTATGTGTCGGATTATTCCCGCGTTCGGGATCGGCGGGTTCGCCAATACCGAAGGCCGGGCGTTCCTGCACCAGCAATTGCGGCGATGTGAGGACTGATTTTCTGCAATGGCCAATCAGGATGTCAGAAGTCCATTATGATTCTGAATGACTCAAAGCAAATCAACTCCGTTGCCTGCGATAAGCGCACCGAGAAAATGGGGCCCATCCCCGCCAGGTGGTCGGCGGTCAAATGTTGAGTTTCCCGATCGGGAAACCCATCCGCCCATCGGGAAAAGGGTGACTTTTCCGTACCCTAGCCCTAGCACTTTCCCTTTCCAGCCACCGCCAATCACCACCCTGCCGTACCCGGCCCGGTGTGGCATCCGGAACGCTGACTTGGCATCTCTCGACACTCATCTTTTTGCTGCTGGCAGCAAACACACAAACCCGGTCACTAGTTACCTACTATCTATCGACCGGATCCCCGCTTCATAGCCTGATCTGACAGGAAACCATCTACTTGTTCGACCTTGACTAGTACGAACTTCTGCCCCAAATATCGGATTTTAGATGGGGCATTCGGTCAACTTTCCGAAACCGGATGAGGGGGGAGGGGGGTTATGACGCAGTACTGTGTCGATCTAGGCGCGCTGCCCATCCCACTTGGGGTGGATTATGGATACGCTCTGTGTTTCACCGCCGGACTGGATGCTTCGGCGTTTCCTCTTATCGTTCATGTGTGTGTGTGTGTGCGTGTGTGTGTGCATGTGAATATTCATCATGTCTCTCGGTGTATATAGGCTTCAATGCTAGAGAGAGCATTACACTATCCTTTTAATCTGAGCAGCATTGCAAGTAGATTCAGATTGATTCAAGCAGACGCTCTTAACAACTAACAGAAATCCAACCTACGCAGTTAGTTAGTACTTGGTAAAAGAAGAATGCCAAAACGTCACTTCAATCCTTCTATTTTTATACCTCCCAGACACAAATAGATACTTGTTGAAAAAGCTAGATAGCGAATACCTCGGTCCTCGTCAAATATGCCCGACTTGGCACGGACATGGTGTGAGTGTTCGTTTGTGGCTGAGCATAACACACTGACACAATGGCATTAATAGTAGCATACCGTTGTGTGTTAATTATGTAGTGCACAAGTATGTAGCGTATCACGTAATCAATGAAGAACTAACATGTACTAAATAATTATGAGAAATTTTGATGCACGGCCACGTCGGTGGTTATTGCATCACCCTGTTATGATTCCGTGTTACTGCTCTATAGTACAGTAAGGAGTTACCATTCGCTTCTTCCATGTGGAAAGGCTTGTTTCTTTTTCCTTTCTTGTAAGGCCGGGGAATTACAGGCAATTGGGGTGATGTGGCCACTGTGCGTTGTGTTATGGGTGAGACAGGTAAGTAACTTTGTTGCGTTGATCTCGGAGGATAAGTAGGATCCATTCGAAGAATGTTAGTCTTTGGTTCGTTGGGATCATGGGGATTGAATTGTTTATTTATCATTAGAGACCACTCTTGGTGGATGATAATATATTTTATTGATGGGGATACACGGACTCGCGGTCAGCTTCTGTTTGTTGGTTGGTTTGGCTGGTCGCGGACAACGCTACGGACCGAGCCAGTAATTAGGTTATACTACTAAGGGGACAGTGTCCGGGCTTAATGTGCATGTCTCAGTCTTCACTATAGGCGCAATCTCGAGGATTATCGGAGAGAGGGCATTAGGCTTAGGAAGTTGACTAGTTAGTCAAATCAGGTGAGATTTAGTCATGTCCGTGTTGGAAATAGATGTACCCCATCTTGTTGTGCCAATGTGTTGGGATGATGATGGTAGAACTGTAGAAGACTACTACTACTAGTACTAGACAAGGTAAGTAAGTAAGCGTGTTAATTTGAGCATCTGGATTGGCAGGTGTCAGCTGGCTGAAGAGTCAGTCCATTGGCCCACTTCGAGTGCGCGGACCACCCTGATTGTGACGGCGCTGAAGACCTGCATGTATCCCACACCAGCCATGCAGCTAGTTTATAATCCTCGACAGCAATTTTTGAGGCTTTGCGTCCTCATCTTTTTGGATTTATCTGGCAGCGGTATGCACGTCGGGCTCAGATAATTGTTGGTGAAGTGCTGACAACCGGTTGTATACTTACTATCAGTGATCAGATTATACTGTCATCGAGTGCCCGTCCTAGGACGATGCGTAAATGGCTGCAAGACGCCAAGTGGTGAGGGGTCATCCACTTGCAGGGATGGGCACGAGTAATGCAAGCTGAGCCGTCTGCTCCCTCACCATGGCGTCGTACTAGTGCACCGACCGAGTCGTCGCCTACTCTCACCCCGCTCGATTAATATAAAGCAGACGGGCCAGGGTCAATTAATGCCTACCTATATACCCCAGTCGTAACTTCAGTTCTTGCAAGCCAGTTCGACCTGACCATGGTGTCCACGACGCTGACTGCCGCTCTGGCGGGCGTGTTTTCGCATCTTACCTATTTCCAGCGAGGCGAGCATCAACTCTACGGCACCACCTATACGCAGGTTTTCGGTGTCCTGTACGCCACTGCGGTCGCTTATCTGCATGTCTCATGGGGAACCGTATGGCGAGAGGCCCTGGTCACCGTCTCCCTGCATGCAGCATCCTACCTTCTTGGCACCTTCAGCAGTCTACTGCTCTATCGTCTGGTGTTCCACCCACTGGGATCGTTCCCAGGTCCATGGCTCGCCCGCATTTCGGATTTTTGGCTCGTTTCGCAGATGAAGAACAACAATAAACATGTCAAGCTGGTTGAACTGCACGAGAAGTACGGTCCCTACGTCCGCATTGGACCCTCAACTCTATCCGTCATCGATCCCAAAGCTGTCAACATCATTCATGGCCCAGCTTCGCGCTGCTTGAAGAGCGGCTGGTACGACCACTCATACCCCAGCAAGTCATTGCAGACGAGTCGAGACCCGGCCGAGCACCAGCAGCGCCGGAGATTATGGAGTACCGCCTTCGGCAGCAAGCAGCTGCGCGGATATGAGCATCGCGTGCGTAAGTACCGTCAGCAGCTCGTAGATCAGTTGATGAAAAGGGAGGGTCAGCCAGTGAATGTCACCAAGTGGTTCGACCTATACACCTATGACGTGATGGGAGATCTGGCATTCGGGGAGGGTTTTGGTTGTCTCGAGCAAGGCGAGTACCATTGGGCCACACAAATCATGATGGAGACAATGGACTTTGTTGGCAGCTATTTGCCCATGTGGCTCTTCCGTATGGTCTTGGAGGTACCTGGGCTGAAGAGCGGATGGTATAAGTTCCTGGAGTACTGTGAGATGAGGCTGGTGGAGAGAATGAGGGTGAGCTGTCATCGCACTTGTGTCCCTATCACGAGCTGACCAAACAGAATGAGCCTGATGTTCCCGACGTCAGCGCAGCGCTTCTAGCACCCTTCAAAGGCAAAGAGCCCGGGAAGGAGGACCAACAGTGGCTAGGAGGAGATTCGCGACTTATTATTGTTGCTGGAAGGTGAGTGCTCTCGTGGAAGTAGTCACAGATGCCTGTCTCACGCGGATAGTGACACCACTGCCTCGACACTTGTTTCTTTGTTCTATGAGCTCGCCCATCGTCCCGACGAGGTCGAAAAGCTTCGTGCCGAATTGGCTCCATTTGTAAATATGGATGGAGGCCTTGGAGACTTTTACGACAGTGAGATTGGTCACTTGGGACACCTCAACGGTGCCATCAACGAAGCCTTGCGTCTATATCCGGCGGTTCCTTCGGGAGTACCACGGATAATGCCTCCTGAGGGCATTACTGTGAACGGAGTGTCCATTCCAGGCAACACCATAGTTATCAATCCAACCCTTGCGATGGGACGGTGTAAGTCAACCCCGGTGGGCGGAGCGGCGAAAAATCCAGTAGACTAACGACGGACCAGCGGAATTGAGCTATAAAAAGCCACTAGAGTTTATTCCCGAGCGGTGGTACCAGCAGCCCGAGCTGATAAACGATCAATCGGCTTTTGTTCCATTCAACATTGGTATGTATTCTGCATGACCTAGAGGCAATCAGGTTAGCATAATTAGCTGATGGGAATTTATGTGTTTAGGTACTTACAACTGCATTGGCAAGCCGTTGGCACTTCAAAATCTGCGGGCAACGGTGGCACATTTGGTCACAACTTTTGACGTCAAGTTTGCGCCAGGAAATGCGGAGAAAGATCTGACCAGACGGTCAAAGGATTGTTTTGTCTTGTACCATGGTGAACTGGACTTGATCTTCACACGGCGAAAGTAAATAGTCGGGGACGGTGGTGAGCGACCGCCGTTGATGAGAGTGTCGATCGCACGGGGGAAAAAAAATTACGTCGGTGGTGTTGGGCAGAAGGATCAAGGGTGTTTCAGCTCCACCCGTGTTTCAGAATGCGATGGCAATACGGCAGAGACGAGGCAGTCAGCAAGAAGCCCAAGTACGTAATTAGTTGAAGTCAAGAACAACATCAGCTAGTCATTTGGATGATCGAGTCAGCCAGGTGGTCGATCTTGCTGCCTGGCTGTGCTGTCACTCGACTAAGTACTTTATTGCGCATGATGCACCTCCAATGAGGCAAGGGCGATAGTTGCCAGGCACCGATCCGCTCGATCAAGCTTTCGGGAACGGCGGAACCGCGTTGGCCAGTAGACCCGTCGAGACCAGGGGAGGAGCCCACCTGGTAGGCAGAACAATGACTGGTAGCGAAGACTGGGCACAATTATGAGGATAAAAAGATATAACCGGCAAGACCAAACAGTGTGTAGTATGGTGTAGAAAAGTGGATAGTAAAAGTATGCTGCCTGGTCGCGAGAAGCGAGAAGAGAGAAGAGAGAAGAGAGAAGAGAGACGAGAGAGTCACGACGCGGGTTGCTTTCATTCTTTCCCTCTCTCGTGATCGGCGTATCGGCGTATCTGTCGAACAATGCGAATCTTACCGACCACATCCTGGCACTCAACCACCCAATTCCTTAGTCATTGGTGGTTTTTGGTGTTTTTGCTCTTTCATCATCAGACCCACTCTTGTCCCATTACCTGCCAATCATATACTCTCCAGGCACACCCGCAGCCAATGGGGCTACTCTGCCAGGCTTTTGGGAAAGATGCCCGCGTAATTCCAGCAAGCACTGTACCTTTTTAGTTACCATACAGGCATACAACAATACTGGCACTGGCACTGGCCGCGTGGGCAACCAGCAAACCAACCCAGTCAGCAGCAGCAACAATCATCCAACCAGCTGAACCACTTGACCCATTTATAAATAAACAGTGGAGCCAAAAACCGGCTTGAATTTTTCATCGCTGCGGGCTTATCAGCATTCTTATTCCGAACTCCTCCATCCCAGCGTGTCTCATCCATCCCTCCTGTTTCTCTTCTTCTCTTCTTCTCTTCTCCTCTTCTCTTCCTTCTGCCGACCGTATATTTACACTCTTACCTCCTTCCTCTCTTCCCCGTCCGATTCCCCGCCCCAAACAAAGTGATGCGTTAACTCGGATCCGCTTATCCGCTTTACACACCACATTATACACATACACTCTGCCAACTCCATCCACCAAATACATCCACATCCGCAGCTAGCATCCAGCACAGACCACGGCAATTTGCGATCGCTGAACGCCACCATCTATTATATTTATCAACAAACATTCGAAATCATATCGATATCTGTCTGGAGTCTGCGTATATACCACACAAGTTGCTTCATCATGACCAAACTCAGTGATTCGGCCATCATCGTCATTGTTATCGTCGTGTGTCTCGCCCTCGTCTCACTGGGGGCCGCACTCACGAAACAATTCTGGCCCGAGGCCCCCCAACAACGCTACAACTATCCCGCCGAGCAACAATCCTACATGCGAACGGTCCGTCTGAAGAATCTGGGTATCTTTCAACGCGAGTCGATGAGTATGCCCGGGAAGATGCCCGCCGCGGCAGCGAGGGATGTAGAGTCAGGCTGTACGTTTACCCGTCAAGTCAACCCTTGCAATCGGAAGGTTTGATTATTCTAGATGTGGAACTAATGAATCACTCGTTGCACAGACTCCGAAAATGAATCGTCGCATTACTAGTCGCATCCCTACCTTTCCATATTCCTCCGACATTTTCTATTGATATCCTCACACTCCTTATCGCGCCCATCCTCGACTCGTTGCCTGCTCTCTATCTCTCCCTAAAAGCGAATTCCCCCAGCAAGCAAGCATCGCGATAACCCACTGCATGTACGATTGACGATTACGCATTACCACCTTGATTTTGACTTATTGATTGATGGACGGGACCTGACCTGACTGTTGTGTCTTTGCGCCATGGTGCGGTGTTGAATGGCGTTGTATTATATCCTGGTTTTTTTGGTATATAGGTTGCTTTTCAGTTGTCTGTTCGATTTGTGATTATTTATCTACCTTCTTGTTCATTCCTTGAGCTGATTGTTTCGAGTGGTGGATTGGATACATACCGCTTACATATACACACCTATACGGTCAACAACATGGCTTTCAACATACTTCCATTTTGAAGCTTTACATTACTCATCAATTACATACATAACACCTATCCACCCCGACTACTCCACATCCTCTCCAATCTCCTCTCCATCTCCACCCCCGGCCAATAATTACACTCCCTCCTCATCTCCCTCACAAACCCCCTCAACCTCACCCTCTCCCCCTCATCATCAAACCACTCCGCACACACCACCACCGCAAACGACGCAATCACCATCGCAGCAGGCGACTGCCGATTCGATACCGCCACGCCACAAACCTCCCACACAGCCTGCTTAACCTCCTTCTCCATCTCTACCATCATCACACTCCTCCCAACCCTCACCCCCAACAACAAAGGATTGTACATCGCCAACAGAATACGAATAAACCCCAAACTCTGCGCCGCCACAATATGACATCCATCCAAATACCACCTATTCGGGAATCCCCCACCATCACCACCATCATCTGAATAAACCGCCTCAAAAGACCCCGGACACATCCTCACCCACTCATCCCTCCTCTCCACCAGCCGCTTATAAGCACTCACACTTCTCGCCGCCCCCTCATCAAAACAAAACTGAATCACATGCGCAGCTAATATCAACAGCGCATTCACCCACTCATGATCCCCCGACGTAGCCCTCGGAGCAGGATACAAATCCAAAATATCCAGCGGAATACGGAAAGGCCGCTGCTGCGTAAACGCCATATGGAATTCCTGGCGCACGCCCACCCAAAACGCACTCTGCCGCAAACCCCAAGAAGTAGAACCACCCCCCGTCAGACTAAGCGTCGGCCGGGCCTGCGCTTCAAGAAACACCTGCAAGCCACGGATAGCAGTGGTGGTGGGATGGGAATGGAAGGGTGCTATACCATACACCTTATTAGTACACACCCCCTTTATTTATGGTGTAAAGAGGGAGATAATACATACTATCCAGTTCCTCATAAAACCTCAACGTCACCACCGCGGCAAGGAGATTCTCATCCAGAATAGCATTCGGCTCGGTGCTCACGGAGCGGAGATGCGCAATGCATCGGTTATGATAGTGCAGGGTGGAGGGTTCATCGATGGTGAGGCCGTGGGGGAGGCCGTATCGACGGGTGATTTGTAGTTGTTGGTCCAGTGGGAGAGTACTGAAGTGGCGGGCTGAGGTGGAGAGGACGGCGTCGAGGAGAGGTGGGCTGGTTCGCGCGCGTTGGGGGACGATTGTCGTGAAGCTTTGGGAAGGGTCGCCGATGTCGAACTGTTGTGTTGTTTTTGTCGGATGAGTTGAGGTAGAGTGGGTGGATGGTGTTGGGGATACATACCCATTTACCTAAGGTTTCGGAGAAGTAGCGCAGTAGACAGGCTTCTTCTAGGGTGAGGTGGGCTTGTGGAGCTTGGATAGATGGAGTCGTAGCCTCAAGCAAAGCTTTATGGGGTGATGTAGTCCATGGAACAAGTGTTGGTGTAGGGCTGGTGATGGGCTGTGGTGTTGGTGTTGATGGATGTGAAGGCTCATGCTGGTATAGAGCTGCCACGGCGGGTGTCTCGTCGACATACTCGATCGATACATCTGCGTATTCGGTCTCAGTATATTCTCGCAGTTGCAGGGTATCAGCGCACCTGTATTGGATGGACTGCGGTGCTTCTGTCCTCCCGTGGCATGCTCGTATTCAGCGCTCGTGCTGTTGAGGAATCTCAGCTTGGGTCGCGCGCGAATGCATCTTCGTCCAGAGATGCGACATCTAGTGCATGCTGGGCGGTTGTCGTCACCTGGTATTGGCTCTTTTAGCTGTGTGTTAAGAGTTGTGCTTAGTGTTTGGGGGTTCGGGTTTACATTTCAGATGATGTTCTGTTTATGAACAAGATATATATTTAGTCTCGGTAGAGAAAGTCATTCGGACAGAACATACTCCGGCAATGCTGGCTACTACGAGTCAGTTCACTATCTTTCAAAAATGAGACAAAGGGTAGATATACCATGGATCGCGCCTTGTAGGCATTAGTAGCAGGTGGTTGTGGGATTGATGAGGGCAAGTAGAACAAAGAGCAGACTATCTGTCGAAACGGGAGGGGTTCGCCGAGGGTTACCCTTTCGGTCAGCAGTTCCACCCCGCATGGACTGCTTGTCTTCTATGCGGGGTTCACCACCATGATCCTTACCGACTTTGAGCTTCATTCCTCTTTCTTGTTGTGAGATAATCAAGGGAGACTTCAATTGCCGAGATTTTCTACACGACTGTTAGACTTCGCTCTAAATGATCCTGGGTTTGCGGGGTAGAAACCCTCCTCCGTAGATCGGTCCAAAGTGCTGCATCCTGTATGGCTCTTGAAGCCTTCGTATAGCGAAAGGGAGGCTGCACAACTGAACAGATACATTCCCTGCAGGATAGAGGATATTGTCACATACAATGTTCTCTCTGAGAACCGCAATGATATTGCCGTGGCTGTGGAGCGTCTCCTACAGCAAGGGGGCCAATGACCGCAGGATGGGAGCAAACATGACCCATCTACAGTACAAGTATGTTCATACCCAAGATCGCAATCTAGCTAGAGTCCAGTTTGCTCAGGCGGATTCCAGAACTACGAAGTCTTGACTGCTCGCTGCGACGCATCGCCAACTGGTTGCTGCATGCCACCGCTTTGGTACCATCTCGCCTGCACTAACCATTTTGGGGCGCATTCGGCGAGCATCGCCTTATTCGAGCAGTGCAGTATACAACTACATCACTGCAGCATCAGTATCCAGCATTCATTACCAGGAGGACATATAAACTCGCTCAATCATGCCGTTTTCATAGATCAATAAATCATGTAGAAGTGCAGGTCACGACAACTATTGTTATTGAACATGTACTTCCCAGTAGCCATTGGTCTACTCACCCTCCTCTTCATCTACTACTTCATCCTCCCCATCATCAATTACTTCCGCGACCCCAAAGGTTTCCGCAAATACCCCAACCTTACTTTCTGGTCCGGCATATCCGACCTACCCCTCGTCTACTTCTCGCACAAAGGGATCCGCTATCAGCGCCTCCTCGAAGCACACAAAGCCCACCCCGTCGTCCGAATCGGACCCAATTATCTCTCCTATGCAGACCCAGAGGCAATCAAAGACATCTACGGTCATGGAACAACATGCACAAAAGACATATTCTATTCCACTCTAGCCGGGTCTCATTTCCACCTAGCCGATGTCGTCGACAAGGGAGAACATGCACGGAAGCGGAAGGTTCTATCGAGCGCATACGCGCTCAAGAACCTCGAGACATGGGAGTACAAAGTCGCCGACATGACGCACCGTCTGATCAAAGCGTTTGATGCACGATGCACAGATCCACTACCAAAGGGCCATCGTCCACCCGAGAAAGATCTCACAATTGACTATCGCATGTGGACCAACCTGTTCACTATAGCAGCTATTGCGAACATCGGTCTCAGCGAAGATATCAAATTCCTCGATCAGGGGAATGATCTCATCACATCAGAATCCATGAATGGCAAGACAAAGCGAGTACACTTTCGAGACTGCCTTTTCGCCACTGGCTCAGCAACAGCTACTCTAGTCTGGTGCTACGACTGGTACAAGACCCTGGTGCGAGCAAGCAAAATCCTGTTTCCGACATACAACCAGAAATGGAAACTCAACAAAGACTGGGATGGCATCGTCTACAACCGTGCCACGACACGATGGAAACGTTACCAGAATGGTGAACAGCTCGATGATTTCTTCTCTGCGCTAATGGAAGATAGATCTAATGTCCCTCACAATTTGGAATGGGGAGAGATCGTCGCAGAAATCAGTATCATGATGAACGCCGGGTCTGATACAACTGGGATCTCGCTGAGCAATGTTATGCTTCTTCTACTGAATAACCCAAGATGTCTGGAGAAATTGCGGGAAGAGGTTGACGGTGTCCTAGACGACGACGAGATCGTTGCACCCTACGACAAAGTCAAGCATCTCCCCTACCTTCGAGCCTGTTTGGACGAAAGTCTCAGACTGTTTCCGCCTGTGTCGTTTGCGCTTCCGCGACGTACTCCTCCTGAGGGTACCATGATTCTATCGGACCACATTGCGGGTAACACCTCGGTCGGGATGTCGGCGTACGTGGTCCATCGCAATGAGTCCATCTTTCCGGATCCTGAGGCCTTTCGTCCGGAGAGGTGGCTTGGAGAGAAGGGGAAAGAATTGCAGCCGTACTTCATCCCCTTCAGTACTGGTGCGAGAGGATGTATTGGTCGCAATATTAGCTACCTTGAGCAGACTATTTTGGTTGCTTCGCTAGTGCATCGGTTCGACTTTGCTTTGCCGTATCCGGGTTGGGAGCCGGAGAGGCATGAGACGACGAATCTTGGTTCCGGACCGATGCCGATGAAGGTTTGGAGGAGGGAGGTGGCTGCGTGAACTGGCATGACTTTATCAAGGGATATAAGAGGCAAACACGAATGGTTTTATTGTTAGACATTTGTTTCTAATGTTCTAGGACATAATTCACATATCCGTTCTATGTACAACCTGGTTTGGCAAACCTACAGGTCTTGAGTTGGATTATGGAAACACTGCATACTGACATGTTTACGCTTTCTACATCTGGTCTCATTTGATTGTAAATACTTCCAGTCGGTATTAATTTCATTATGATATAAGCAGATTGCGAGCCATATGAGTGATGCCAAAGCTCTATTTGAATGGAGCATGACACCAAGCTGAAGAATATGAGGCAGCTAAGACAAACCATCAGCCCCATATGATGTTGAAGCATTCTCTACCAGCCGAATTTCCAGATTGATAGCGTTGTATCAGGATATCTGTCTACTCGGATAACTCGTCGTCATCATTGCCGCGTCTTTTCCCCTTTTTATAACTGGTGGTTGCAGGCGTAATGAGTCCCAGCCGGTTAAACTTGCCATTGATCATTGATAAGTCTTTATTCGAAACAGGCTCCACTGGCGATTGCATAATCAATGCCTTGAAGCAGATCACATCCCAGGACTCGGGGAACACATTTCCCTTTCGATGCCTGTCTTCCACACCTCGCCAGAACAGCGCTGTTTATCCAGTTCACGACAACATTCCAGTCTTGTTCCTTCTTTACCAGCAGTTCCCAGGCTGGCAGATACTTATCAGGATAAACGTCAGCCACCGCCATGGGCAATGCGCCCCACACCCTAATTAATCGACAAATCACTCTAGGCTTTTCGTCGGCAGATAAAGTCCAAACAACCCAATCCTTGTCATAGTAGTAGTCTCCGACACTATCATTACGAAGCTCAAGTTCGCGAGAAGACATATCCTTCAACTTTATCGCCTTATCCTCCAAGGTAGCTGCTAGCATCATGGCCAGCCGATAGTAATCAGCGGAGCGGTTGGAAACCTCATCGAATGAAGTAGCTTTACAAGCCTCTGAGTACAGGTCCATCTGGCGAAGATCTATCATGAGATCTTCGAACCAAGCTCGGATGGTATCAGCGGGAATCTGAGAGGTAGACCCAGCATCTGGATTTTCATTCTCCGGCCGAGACTTAGATAAACCTTTGGAAACGTCGGGATTTGTTCTATGCTGTCGTACGTGTTCCATCTTCTTCTTGATAGCTTCATGCTTGGCCCGCCTGGCATCATGTGCTTTCTTGGCTGCCTTGTGGCGAAAGGTTTTGGGCCATTTATCAGCGGCCTCAGAAGGCATTGTTGTTGTAGTGAGCTATGGTCCTGCGCGGATTGAGGAGGATGTTTTGTAGTTGCGTAGGTAAATCAGGTATGGTAGAGGTAGGTGGCAAGGAGAGGGGGAGACTTGGTGTTCAGGAGACGAAGAGGGGAACGAAAAGAAGAAGGAAATAGGAGGTATTTATAGGCGGACAAGTTTGAGGCTTCCCTTCATTTTTTCACTAAGATGGTCAGTTTACCCTCACTAGGCAATGATTGTGGCTCTCACTTGACTTGCTGGGTTGAATTATAGTATCCATGAAGTCAAATCCGGCCTCTACTTCGACCCTTCTTACTTCTCTGTCATCTCAACTTCAGTCTTGAGTATAGATCCATAACCTCATTAACATCGCCATATAATTAAGTACATAGTAAGTCGCATAGCTATCGGATTATAGTCCATCATCCGTCCAACCAATTAAGGGACCCTTCTCCTCCACTCCACCTACTATCCTAGAATCCATAAACAATCTACTCAAAATCCGTCCTCGACGTAACCCCATCCCACTCATCCCAAACCCTCATCAACTCCTGGCAAGTATTTCTCACAATACCAAACGTATCTGACCCCAACGGCAATCTCAAAGGCAACTCCATCCCCTTGCATCTCCCCTCTCCTCTAACCGCCTCCACAATCAACTCAGCACCCTTCCTCGGATCCCCCGGCTGATTGCCACTCCACTCCAAACAACCGTCATACGCTCGCTGATTCATCTCTTCATACTCAGGCAAGCGATTCGGGTTTCGGTATTGGATTACCCCGGCTGCCATGACCTGCGTGCGAAAATGCCCGTACGTCAGAATCGACACCCGGATATTGAACGGCGCCACTTCCGTCGCCAGAACCGGCACCATACCCTCGATCATTCCCTTAGGGCATACATAGGTCCCCGCACAGGGAGCAGCGTAGTAGGTGCCTACGGAGCCGGAGAAGAGGATGGTTCCGGTCTTGCGAGCACGCATGTGGGGGAGGAGCGCGCGGGTGAGGGTGAAGGGGCCGAGGGCGTTGATGCGGATGGAGTTGAGGAGGAAGTCGTCGCTATAACTTTTATGAGTGGGAATCGTAATGATATACATAGTGTAGGGACGTACGTCATCTCTTCGAATGTGGATATGTCGATGTATCCTGCGTTGTTGACTAGGACATCTATGGGTCCGTACTTGTCCCAGAGTTCTTGGGCTTGTTTCTTGATATCTTCCTCTGGAGATGCCATGTCTAATTCATAGACTGCTGCGCCGGCATCTTTGAGGGAGGAGAGACGGTCGGTACCGCGGACTCCTTTGCTGCCGCGGGCTGTGGCGATGGCTTTGTCGCCCTGTTGATTTGAATTAGCTCATCATACGTCCAATTTCGTGGCAATACTTGTGTACTTAGAAACGCACCTTATCAAGAATAGCCCGCACCAAGGCCTCCCCCAGGCCAGAGGAGCAGCCGGTAACGAGCCAAGTAAGTTGCTGTCCGGCCATGATGTTGGAAAGAAGAGCGTAGCTGAAACAATGAGAAGTAATCTTCAGCCTCGATCCGTTACTCCGGTCTCATATATATTAGTGGGATTACACTTATTAGAACCCCACCGTCAGCTTGGATAGCCTTCGATCTAAACAGGTAGTACTGTCTGGCCAGTTAGCCAATTGGTAGTCTTGTTGGTGCTGGATTCAGTTTCCATACCCCGCTGTCAGGTTGGACGCCTTAGACTTAGCCCTGTATGGATCATATGCGAAGTGGAACCATCTACGATGCGCATTGGCGTTAGTGTAATGCAAGGAATATGCATCTCCACGCCAGACGAGGAATAGGATGAAAGTAGATGACGTCAATACTGATCTGGAAAGAAGGTGACTTTCATTGAAGATGAACACCATGGTTGTCGAGCCCGCTATGCTTCTTTAGGGTCGGGCCGAGGTCAGTCCCAGCGCCACCATTATTATTATGACTACCATCACCGGCACCACAACTTTCGAATATGCGTTCGTACTTCAGCATGAATCCTGTTCTTAAGGTAAGTAGGTTAGTATTTATTTGCTGCTGACGGGCTCTTAGGGGAAGGTGGAGTTATATGGAGCGACAGAGATGTTTTGAGAAGTTAAGCAAAATGAGGTATCTTCTTTGCAAACATTATGTTCTCAAGTCCCAGTAAAACAAGCAAGGTATCAACATGATATCAGAACCAATATACAACCACTAGACCCAAACCCAGCCAGCCAGCCGGCCACAAACATCAACAAAGAAAGTAACTAGCAGAGTGAGACAAGAGAGATCACTCCACAATCTCAAACTTCACATCCCTCTCCACCCCAAACGTCTCCTTCCAATCATCCCACAACCTCGTCAACTCCTGCACATACGTCTCATGCAACTTATCAACATACTTCTCATCCATATCCCACCTCTGCTGCACAACCTCAATCGGCTTGCCGACAACAACATTGAGTGGCTTCCTATGCGGACAAAACAACCCAAACCTGCCCTTCGAAAACGCAACCTTGTGACCGACCGCAAACTCCCACGCTCTCGCGACCAACCCTAGTGCCGACGACGACTTTGTATCAATCAAATCAAACAACTCGTTCTCTCCGAACGCAATAACAGGGACTAGATCCGCCCCTGTCTCGACCGCGACGCGGACGAAGCCCTTGCGGATCTTGATCACAATCCCCATGGTGCCCGGCTTGGCAATGTTATACTCGCGGCTCCCGCCGACAGTGATGGCGATGGAACGGCCCATGCCTCGCTCGTCATGTCCACCGCGAGTGAGGTGCTTGATGCATGAGGTGCGGGAGACGCCGCTTGCCCCTGTCGCGAGGAGGTATTCGCGCAGGAAGGGTTGATGGAAGAAGCCGTCTTTGACGAGCAGAGTGTTGGTTAGTCCTGGGAAGAGGGAGGAAAAGCCGACGCTGTCAGCGGCAAAGGAGCCAAATGCCCCGCGCAGGGCAACGCCGTGCGGGTGGTAGCCGAAGATGTATTTTCTTCTTGGGGATAGAGGAGCAGAACGGTAGAGGGTGAGAGGGAAGTATGAGGCGAAGGCTTTCCAAACGAAGGAGGTGCGGAAGGCGTCGTTGCGGTAGGGCAAGGTGCCGGATTTGTGGGCCTTGGAAAAGTATTTGATGTAGAGGATGTAGAGGAGGACGACCAGGCGGAGACGGGGAATCAGAAGGAGAGAGTAGGCCAGGAGAGGGAGGTGGAACCAGGTGGTGCAGAGGAGGGTCATGAGAACGGATTCGGCCATGTCGGTTAGGAAGGGTCTGTTGGTTGGTTAGATTAAATCTTGTAGCGTTGTTGGGGTGGGAGAAAGGAAGGGAGGGGACTTACTTGGATGCGCCTTTGCCTTCAGTCTTGGGCATCTGCGCAGTTTGGAGGGTCTGGCCTGCACGATTCTTGATCTCGTACAATCGTGGTTGATTCTCTGGGTCGGCTTCAGGGATGTGGATCGCTGTCGCTTTCTCCGGGTTACGTGCCAATTCTGCAATCTTTTCTGCAGCGGCGACACGACCTTCTTTCTTACACAGCTTGGCAATTTCGGTTGCCTTTTCCTTGTAAGAGCGGTTGCTCATCACCTTCAGCAGTCCTTTGCTCAACTCTTTAGCGCTGATATTGGGAGCCCGGCTCTTGTTGCCGTACACTCCTATGCCTAGCCATTCCGCCCGAGCAGCGTTCTCATAGCAGTCTTGCCAGGCTGGAAGGACGATATGGGGAACGCCATTTCTGAAAAGGTTAGGGTACAGCGCAGGATACGAATCTGAGGAGCAACTTACTGAATAGCTTCGTACCACGAGTTGGCACCGCCGTGGTGGACGGAGCAGACAATCTGGCCCGTTTGCAACATGGCCATGGGCTCCACCTCGAACCATGGGCGGATCAGCACGCTTCCCTCGTCGGTCTCCTTTTTGAGAGGCTCGATGGAGCGGCTGTAAATGTCATCTTCATCATGTGGATGCTTGGGCAACTTCCACAGGATCTGCACTTTCTCGCCCTTCCAAGCGTTGAGAAATCCCTTCAGGCCAGTTGCAATCTCCTCAGCAACCTTGGGATCAGGTGCATACAAGGTTCCGAGATTGACGAGGATAGTTGGGGCCTGCTTCAGCCACTTGTGCATCTGAGGATCTTGCTTCTCAACCGAAGCGGTGGGAAGCAGGATTGGCCCAGCCGGGAGGATATTCTCAGGCATCTTGCTGAATGGCCAGTCCAGCTCTTTCAGGCCTGGGGAGATGTGGTATCTATCCGGACGCCAGGCATCGGCAAACGGAAAGCGACCGTGGATCTTGTGTTTGATGCGCCATTCACGGATCTCCCGACGTCGTCCACTGCCATGGTACATCTTGGCCGTCTTGAGGACAGCCATGATGTTGAGCGGGATGAGATGCCAGGGGATGGGGTAAGGGAAGCCAGTTCCAGGTCTGTTATATTAGCAAATGACTAATCATACAGAGGGAAGATACTCACAGGGGGTATTTCCATAGAGCAGCCGAGTTGGGTTGCATTCCGAGCACAATGTGACTAAGGGAGGTTGTATTAATCAGGATGGCTGTATGGCCCGTGTTGTAGGCAGCATCTCTGCCTTGAAGGAAAAAGAAGTCAATTGCAATCGTCGATGGCTTGACCTCCTGGATGATCTCAACGCAACTCTCATAGATGTCAACATATTCCTCCTCCGTCCAACCCCAGATGTCTTCACACAGAGACTGGAAGCCAAGGACAGCACCATGGTAGCCCGGGGGGTGAAAGGCACCACGCTTGCCTGTGCGGATGAAGACATCGGTGTTGGAGGGACCCCTTACAGGGTGGAAATGAATACGCGACCGGAAGGACTCGTCATAAGCAGGTGAGTTGTCTGCCAGAAGTTTCTCCACCCGGCGCTCAAGGACCGGGAATGAGCCAATATGGACTTCAACGTCTCCTTGGACGAGGAGCTCGTGCGTGATTGCCAGGATGATGTTCGTTTGACCATGTTCACTGTTGGCCAGAAAGAGGACTTTGGTAGGTTG